GCCAATTGTCCAGTAGCTGAACCTCAAAATACACCATGGACCCTGATGGGACTGGTCCTGATGTTTAGGCTGTTCTCTGGTGGGTATACTTAGATGGAGAGCCCATCCATGACCTGATCCCAACCCGGCCCTTGGTCACATGGAACTCTAGCCTGCCTCCCAGATCTGTGGGGGTGTCAGCCTCTGGAAGAGACTCTTTGGTCCTCCCAAGTTCTCACCTTGGCTCCAAGCTAGTCCACTGTAGGCCACCATTTGTGACCGAGGCAGACAGAGGCCCCAGGGTTCATGAGACCCCATCCTAATTGTTTTCCATCAAATTTCTCAGAGATGACTTGATTCTACTTCATGCTGTTTGGAGTTGGAAGGTGCTACAGGGTCAACCCCTCTCTGACCTCCAGAACAAAGGGCTTCCTACTGCTGTCCTGGGGGGCCCTGCCCATGGAACCTAGTCCTCTTCAACTCCCTGCCAGGCGGCCTCCATATCCAACTTGGGCAGCCGTGGCCATCTTACTGGGCAGCATTGGATAGTGTCTGATCTCTAATACTGCCTGGTAATGATGGTGGCGGAGCCCTGCGTGCAGCAATGGGGCCGCCTCCTGATCCCAGCCCCCAGGGGCTCTAGTTCCATACCTCATCTACCCTGCCCAGGATAGGGCTATGGGGCAGAAAGTTAACCTTGGCCATAGGGATTTTCGGGAGAGCTTTCCCTAACCAGGCACCTCTGAGAGGCTCTTTGTGTCCTGAGATGAGGGGTTCACTATCCTTGCCCTGGAGGTGCCCCCTCCCAGTGCTCTGGGGGCGAGGACACTCAAGTACCAGGGTCCTGCCTACAACACCCAGGCAGGTGCTGCCACCACACCTAGCAGGTGTGGGCTGGGTAGAACTGTAACAAAGCCTCTAACTAAAGCCCAACCTTGGCTCAGAGGGCCTCATGCCAAAATTTGCCTCACCTAGATCTGAGAGATGTGTGCTGACCCCTAGTGGGGCTACTCAGGCCTGGGTTGCCTTCCCTTCCTGCATCAAATGGGCACTGACCTATAGACCAACAGCACCTCTAACATGGGTATCGACCCAGTATGTCACAGTCCCCTTGCTTTGGACAAACCAGACAGTATGAGTCAAGGTCAGCCTCTCTCTGCTGGCCTGCCCCAGTGCAAATATCATGCCTAGTTGTTCATGGCACCAGGTTTCTACTGGTCCTCCCTGAGGGTGGAAACCGCAAATCCTACTCTGTGTCTTCCTGCCAAAGCTCACCTGGGTCTCTGTGGGCATCTTACCGGACAGTGCTGGATTTTTTGGCTTGACTCTAACACTGTCTGGTAACGATGTTCAAAGGTGACCCACCACTCGCCGAAGACAGTCTGATGATGCTCTTGCCCTAGCTCCTGGACTCCAGATAGGTCAAGGCTAAGGATGTGCTGGGCTTGCAATGGGCCTAGCTCAGCTCTATAGCTCAGCAGTCAGTGGAGGTTGGACTCTGCCCCAAGTGGGAATCCTTGTCTATTACTTGGGGCAAGGGCTGGTTTCACCATGCCAGGGGTCCTGGGGTAGAGGTAGCTTGACACTTATTCCTAGAGCAGCTATGCCCATCTTTGCCAACTCCCCTGTTGGCTAGATTTGGGGGTTCATTGATTCCTAGAGAGACTGTCGGGGTTGGTCAGGATGCTGGGCGAAACAAGGAGGTACGGTGGACGGCACTGTTTGCTTAAGGACTCTTAACTGTCAGGTGCCTATGGGACTAGTGGGCAAGGGCAAGTTCAGGGACCTGAGCCTCACACAGCATTGTGATGTCACCAGCTGGTTCCTAATTAAAGACAAAGAATCTCCATTCCTTCCTAGTCCAGAAGAGGAACTTTGCCCCCAAACTCGAATCCAGGATTACTTCTTATCTTTGTTTATTTGAAGCCGGAGTACAGGGCCAGGGAACCCCACCCAGCATGAGACCAGGTGCCTCTCCCTGGGGAGGGGGTGGGAACGGGGGTCTGTTCCTGGCCTCGATGTTACTCATTAACCGGAACCATTCAGAACACCAAAGAGGTGCTGTGATGAGCATTTGCCAAATAAGAACAAGAAGTGCACCCCTGGTGCACCCACAGATTCACACGCTGGGGGACCAGGCACTGGGCTGGGGCCTGGTAAGAAAGTCCTCAGAGTAACCCCAGGTCCTAGGAGGACCCAGCCACCCCCATAAATAGCCCTTGGATCAGCTCTGCCAGAAGGTGAGGGACCAGAGCAGTCAGGGACCGCACCCCACCCCACTTTCCCTTCGCAGGTACTGGATCAGAATTGACTGCCCAGATGGGGAGGCCCTTGCACAGACCACGCCTGCTGATGGATGTCTTACCAGACATGGTTAGATCTGGATGCCTCTGTCTAATACTGTCTGGTAATGCCGTCCATCCATGGCCTTATCGCCGCTGGAGAGGACATCCTCACCTCCTCAAGGCCACTGGAAAGAGAGCAAGGCCTGAGTGCTTTAGCACAACTGTCCAGGGCTGGGGCCATCACGCCCTTAGCCAAAGAGACCACAGTCTGAGCCTACAGGCCTCCTGGGCCTGACTACCTCCCTCCGACCCAGCCACAGAAGATGTTGTATAACAAAGATGTGAGACCCCGAGGCCTCTGTGTCTGTCCTTTTCAGGAGCAGTCAGTGGTGTCTCACAGTGCCTGTGGCCCCCGTAGGCCCCTGGGCTCCACACTGAGACACCTCAAGCTGTAGTCAGCCAGCACCTGCAGATTCCGCAGTACCTGCACTGTCAACACTGGCGTGCAGCCAGAGAAGACCCAAAGCCTTGGTCCTCAGTCCCCTCCCTGATGTCTCAGGTCACGGGGCCCAGGAGAACAGAAACGACTCTAATCACTGCCGAAATCCAGAGTGGAGAATAGGGCATATGGGTTTCAGAGACAGGGGTACTGCCCAGGTGCCAGACCAGGTGAACGTGACCCTGTCCAGGGAATGTGTGGAAGGCTGCAGAGTCCTGCATTGCCATCTGCTCATGAGCCCTCTCTCTGCAGGCCACCTCCAGTTTTTAGGATCAGAAAGCCATCTTCAACCTAACTCTGGGTGCTGAATACCCCAATTTTAAAGACCCCGCTCCCCTAGCCCTGATAATTTTCAAAAGGCTCTTTCTAAAACTGTCACTTCAGAATAATGCCCAACTCTTACATCATTTACTGAATGAGCAGCATGTATTTTGCTGTGATAAGAACTAGAACTGGCCGGGTGGTGGTGGCGCATGCCTTTAATCCCAGCACTTGGAAGGTAGAGACAGGCAGATTTCTGTGAGCACAAGGCCAGACTGTTCTACAAAGTGGGTTCCAGGACAGTCAGTACTATTGTACAAAGAAACCCTGTCTCAAAACAAACAAACAAACCTCTTTTCAGACCCCACATAAACGTCCTTTACCTCGGTGCCTCAACTCACACAAACCTGAAGCTGGCCAATACAGCCTGAGTCCAGCGCAGCCGAGTCCTGCCTCACCCACTGCCCTCTAGAAAGGACCCAACCTGTTCTTACAGGGTTCTTAGTACTGGTCAGGCCATTCCCTCCAGAGAACCATTATATGGAAACTGAGCTTCACCTCCCACAGAAGCCTGCTGTGCCCCAAGTGAGTAACTGGACCCTGCATTGAAGGTTGTTTCTATGTGGTTGAGGGGTTGTCTTTCCGTTGTGCTCCCTGTGATGGACGGTCTCCTTATTGTCCTCTCTTTAAGCATTGTAAACAAAAGGCAGGGGGAAAAAAATCTCTGTAAGACAATAAATTTTATGCTTTGTGAAATTATACTTTGATCATCTCATTTTAACCATACAAAACATTGTCAAGCAGCTTTGCAAAGGACCAGGCTGAGGAAACAGGGATTCCAATGGTCTGTGCTCCCACCGGAGAGAAGGCCTGCAGAAGTGAGATATAGGGCTCACTATACCCCACCATACACAAGCTGGCTCTGGTATGCAACATATATGCCAAAACATACCGAGGTCCAGTGATCCCTAGACATGGGGCTTCTATCCCAGCCAAGAGTCGGCACTGGAGTGAGAAGTGGGTGTTGTTGTTTTGTGCAGTGCCAAGCCCAGGGTCTCATGAATGTAAAGCGATCATTCTACCACTGAAGTGAGAATTGGAAGTGCCCTTCACACCCCAGAGTCAGTGACTTCTGGCTACTTGTCCAGAACCTCTCCAGGATTGGGTGTGCTACCTGCTCAGGCTGGGGACCATAAGCCCCAATAACTCAGCCCAGGCCTCGGCAGAAGTGCTAAGTGAGCCAACGTATCTGCAGCCCCACCCTACTAATCTGGGGCAGAGGAGTTTCTTGGGCCAGCTCTGGGCTGACCACAAAGACCCCTGTCCCCAGCACAGCATAGGAAGGGCAGGATCCATGACAGTAAGCAGTCCCACAAATAGAGAATGACATCTCATGGGGGCCACTCCTGTTCCCACAGGATGCTGGGCACAGCTGGGAGAAGATGCCCTGCCAGCTATGCCTAGCACAACCTCCTGCTCCCGCAGCTTAGACCGGGAAAGAGACCCCAAAGGAAGAGCCATATTAATAGAGCCTAGGGGTGGGTGCACAGCCTCTAAGGGGATGATGGAGCCGCTTAGCATGGGTAGAACCACAAAGAAACCTGAAGGTGAGGAGGGCTAGAGGGTAGCCTAAAACAACAGAAGTTTTTCAAAATTTCCAAAATTCACCCAACACCTCACCAAGGCCCTAAGGGGAGCCCCGTGTTTTCTCCTCTTAGTTCACAGGTCCTGTGGCTTAGGACAAGATGATTCTCCCGAGATTCTAACTCAATCACATCTGTACAGACCTTTCTAAAATAGTCATGTCCATGGGCTCCAAGATGCAAGATATGGTTTTGTATTTTGGAAGCACCATATATCCCATCAAACTTTGTAACCCTTACAAGGCTCTGAACATGTGTGGTTCATATGGACAGAAGGAAGCCTGGGGTCAAAAGCAGGACTCACGCTGAGTCCCAAAGACCTCAGTAGGAAACTACAAATTGGCACCAAGAGCCAATCTGAGCCATGCTAGTAATCTAGGCTCTGACACTGAGTCCCCGTGAATGCTCAGGATGATGCTGGAAGAATTCATGAGAGGATGGTTCAGACATAAGGGGGGATGTCTATGCCTGACCCCTACTTATCCTCAGCATCCCCCTCAGCCTCCTCAGACCAGTTTGACTTCCCTTCTGAAACTCTTGCTTTGCCCCTCAGCTCACACAATGGCCCCTTTCACCACCCACCTGAAACTCTTGTTTACCTCTGGGCAGCTGCTGAATCATAGTTCCTGGGTAACAGTTGCCTGGAGACAGTTGCCAGGTCACCATTGTTATAGCCCAGCAAAGGGTTCCTAAGACCTTGCAGAGCAGGTAAGAGACACTGGCTGGTCACCAGCTGAGGGTCCTGACCAGGGCTGAGGCTGAGTGCTTGCCCTCCTGTACCCTGTTATTTGCCCTTCCCAGAAGTAGACAAACAGGAGAGAGGACCGGCCAGAGACTGGGCAGTTTGGCTGAGCTCAGTCCTCTGCCGAGGCTACTCTCTCTCCAAACCCCAGTGTTTTAGCCAAGAAAGGAATGTCTTGTGGGGTGGGGCTGACCCATGTGGGTAACTCAAGCTCTGGGGAGGGCTGGGAGCCCTCAGGATGAGCTCTTTGCCTAGAGCCATGTCTGTCTCCCCAGAACTGACCCCTCAGAAGGGCCACCTCCTGAGATCCACAGAGAACGCATCCCCAGACAGTGAGCGCTGCTCGGGAGGCACCAGCCCTTCAGAAAATGTCAGCACCTTCTCAGAGCCCTGTGTTGCCAAACGTTGTGTCTGGGGAAAACTTCAGCAGAACACTGATGTGGTCATTTTCTTGGCCGTCTTCTTCAGGTTTAAACGCATCTCCTGCCCGTTGTACCGGGGTGTGATTTCCTGCCGGTCTTTTTATCTGACCAGGTAAAAAGTTTATTTTAAATTTATTATAAAGACTTGAAGCTTCTGTCTAGCTCCTCACCTGGAGCTTTCCCCAAGACCCAGGAACACATGATTTGTTCCACTATTGAACAGCTTCTTTCTGAAGTAGTAACTGACACTCTTACTGTGAAACTTCCTTTCTGGATTCTGGGTCTGACCCTGAGAGAGTCTCTGGAACGCACTAGACAGGGGCAGCTGCTGGCAGCGTCCCAGCTTAGATGCTGCCCTTCCTCTCTCGGGTAGACATATTCCTCAGCCTCTTCCTGGAAGCTTTTCTAGGTGGGAATGGGTCTCCAGACACCCTGGATTCCCCCACATTTTCAGCCTACAATCTATAGAAGTATGAGGTTCTCAATCTAGGCTTTCTCTCCACCCTACATACAGCTAAACTTTTTGAAAATTTTTTCCTGTCTTATCAGTTCAGGGTGCGTGGAATTGGTAGACTACTTTCATCTGGTTGCTGTCCTTGGCTTTTTTTTTTTTTTTGCAGTCAGTCACTCTATAGCCACAGACCTGTTTCCTCTTTAGAGCTGACCTTCTCCTATCCAAGGGCAGCAACTTGTCTTCCCCTCCCAGTCACAAGACTGTGTGCTGTCTCCTCACTCACTCCTGACCAACAAACTGGGTTTATTTCCTTAATGTGGGGCACAAAGATTCATCTAGGAATAGATTTTAAATGCCCTAAAATGTTCTAAATATGGAAAATAGAGAAAAACGGCTGTGTCCAGGGCAGGAGTGGCAGGGAAAGAAAGGTGATGGTGGCTTTAAACAGGTTGTGTTGGTAGAACCAGGACTGAGCACCTGGGTAGCCATAAACTGGTAGGAATTTTGATCGGGGCTAGAAGCCTTTTTGCCCTTCAAGCCTGCAGATGGGACACCTTACCAACAGCAAGACTGATGGGCACCCTATTTGCAGCAGACACAGAGGCCACACTTGTCGAGGTCGGGGCCGTCTTAGCCGAAGAAGACTCACCCGGCGGAGACGGAATGCAAAGATGGCCTTGCACTCACGGGCTGGGAGGCCTCATGGCCATCACAGAGGTGGAAGTGAGCCACAAGCTGAAGGCACAGCCCAGGACATGGGGAGTCAGCCTTCCCCAGGCAGGGTGGGCCCAGCTGTCTGCCCCATCCGAGGGCTGGGATCTCAAGCTTCTCGAAGACCCCGAAGGGGTGTAGGGACTACATCTTCCTCAAAGGTTCATCATCCTGGTGCCCTCATGCCTGCAACACGCAGTCGTACAAGATTCATCCACTGCCGGGGTAAGCCCCCTCGGACACATGTCAGCTCCAAGAGACCCAAACGGTCCAGGATCCGTCGATGCCACACTCGGGCACCAGGTGAATGCAGAGTATCCCTGGGACTGGTTCCACATACTCTCAAGTCAGGCCTCCAGGGACAGCATTTCATAGGAAGGGAACTAAGCTTACACCAGGCCATGTGCAGTCAGCCAGCCAGGCTCTGAGAGAAGCTAGCAGGGGACAACATACTAGGGACACTACGCTCAAGAATCTGCAGGTCTACCTGTCCATGCCATCACAGTGGGCACTCCCTACCCCAACTCTACTTAGTGCAGCCTCTCATCTCTCCTGGTTGATCATAGACCCTTGGGTCACCCATGATGTCATCATAGACATTGTGACCCCTGCCCTCTGGAGACATACATCCCCACATCATGTCTGTAAGGGCTCCTGCCTCACACTCCGGCCCACTCCCTGCATGGCGCCGGCCCTGCTGGTAAGGAGGGTGGAGGTGGGGTCACCCTTTTCATCCTTTCTGTAGTCTCTACACTACCTGGACTCTGTGTGATTTAAGGCTGGTGGAAACTGCCTCCTTTCACGGGTGCAATGACCCTCAGACCCCTCAGGCAGGTCTGTGTTGGGTCAAAGAGAGGTCCAGAGGTATTGGGTTAGTTCCCAGCAGCTTCTGGCATTGGCTGGGCTCGGGCAGATAGAGTGGGTACGTCCCCATTCCTCCACCTGACAGCACTCACCTCCAGGCTGGACCCATGAGAAACGGATGGCGAGCAGTGTCGAGGAGGGGCTCCGGCCTGAGCTAAGTCAGCTAGACCAAGATGCAGGTGGGGCCTCTGGCAGCTGGGAGGGGCAGGAAAAACCCCACTGAGCCAGAAGCCTGAGGCCTCTGACCACCTACCTGCCCACAGACCTCCTGGAGGAAGAAGAAGCTGCCAGATTCCCTTTGACCTCCCTGGAGGGGCTCTTTCTGGAAGGGGACAAGCAGCCCAGTCCAGGTCAGGGCCCTTTCTTTTACATCGGAGGCACCAACGGAGCATCAATGTGAGTGGACCTTGGGCAGCCCTGGTCTGCCTTCGGACCCCTGGTGTGGACTTAGCCCACGATGCTGCTATGGGGTGGCCACTCCTGCCCTGTCTTCCTCAGATAGCCCCAGGGCCCCCCAGTTACTAACACCTTTTACCCCACAGAATCAGCAACTACTGTGAGAGCAAGGGCTGGCAACGCACGCAGGACAGCCGCTGTGAGGATTACAAGCTAAAGTGGTGTGAGATCAAGTCCAGGGACAACTACTGCAGCTTCCGGGAAGGTAGGGGACACCCTGAGGGAAGCGGATGTGGCAGAGCAGCTTCAAGGCACCACCCACACAACCCTTTCTGTCCTGCCAGGCCAGCAGCTGCTGTTTCAGCTCCCCAACAATAAGCTGCTTACCACCAAGATCGGGTTGCTCAGTGCCCTGCGGGAGCATGGACGCACTTTGAGCAAAGCCAGTCTGCTGCCCAGCACCCAATCCAAGTGAGCCCACCCCGCCCAACCCCAGGAGTGCACCCACTTCTACCTCCATCTTTAGGACCATTTTCCCCTTTCCGTAAACTTTCCTCAGCAACCACTCTCCTTTAAATGTTCCTCCCCTCTCCCTGCTGGTCTACCAATCTGCTTCTCCTCCAGCACATGCCCACCATCCTTTGCTCAGATATCTTTACTCTCTGCCCACAACAGCCACCCATGGATGTCCCTCTGCACTCATCCATTGCTCCACCCACTTAGCCAACATTTTGCTCCCACTCATTCTTATCCGCTCAGCCATATCCATCTGCTTTCCTCTAACCCTACCAAGCTGAACCTCTCAATGGTTCACTGATTACCTCCCCAGCCATTTATTCACCCAAATGTTTACTTAGAAATCTATCTTCTCATTCAACCAACTGCTCACCATCAGCCCCTGAAGGTAGCGTTTAAACACAGCCATCTTTAACACCATCTAGACATCTGTGTCTCCAGCTGTCTACTTCTTGCTAACTTTGACCAGCAACTCATCTGCCCACCCACCCCCAGACCCATCTATACTCTCACTCTGCATACTCCACCCACATCTACAAACATGCTGGAGGTAACTACTCACACCAGGATGTATGTCCCTTTGGGAAAAGGATGTATCAGCCCTTGGGAGCTTACATGGCCCAGCCCAGGATGCCTTGGGCCACAGGGGTAGATAGCTGAGAGAGATCAGAACTGAGTTATAATAAAAGGCAGTTTGGGAGCTCAGATATACATACTATGATTCTATGCCAGGCACAGTCTTGGCATTGGAAATCAACCCACATAGAAGAGAGCGGGGGGGGGGGGGGGGGGGGGGGGGGGGGAGAGAAAGCAACTCCTGTGGGATGGAGGAGCCACAGTGGGGCCGGCAGCCAGAGGCTGGCTGCCGCAGAGAAGCTGAGAGTATGAGACACGTAAAAGGATATTCTGCAAGGACACGGTGTGAACAGAGGCCTTGCAAAGGAAATAGCTGGGGGGGGACACCTGGTAGCCCCTTCCAGCTAGCCTACAGGTCAAACTACCAGATCACTGGCCAAGCTGAAGTCTGAGGACAGCCCTCCCATGTCTTCACCCCCTGCTCCCCCAAGGATCCTAAAAATGGACGAGTTTTTCCCAGAGTCCTATCGGCTGGACATCAGGGACGAGAGACAGACTTTCTTCACGCTATTTGATGGTGAGAGGCCCCTGGGTAGGGCCAGGCACTCTAAAAGGGTAGACAAGATGAGGTTCGGAGCCCAGCAGGGTGGGCAGTGGGTTGGGCAAGGCCAGACCTGGAAAAAGTGGAATAGTTCTTGAGAGGAAAAGTGAAGCCAGGGCTTGGGACTTGGTGTTAAGGGGTTGGAAAAAGAGGGTGGTGGTAGCCTTAGTTAGGGGTAGGGGAGTGGCGGGGCCATAACCAGATTATGGGTATGATTAAAGTGAGACAAAGGAAACGCCCTCTAAACTGGGGTGAGGTAGCGAAATCAGGGTAGGACAAGGGTTGAAGCCTGTTGGAGCTGTCGAAGTGGTCAGGGCTGAGGAGGCGGGGTAAAGAAAGGGAAGGTCAAAGCTGGGGTGTGCTCAGGGCCAGGGCAGGGTGAGGGATGGGAGGGGCAAGGAGTACTCAGGGCCAGAGGCTCAGGGGTTACTTCCTGCAGAAACCGAGGTATGGATCTGCAAGCCCACGGCCTCCAACCAGGGAAAGGGCATCTTTCTGATCAGAAGCCAGGAGGAGGCTGCTGCCCTGCAGGCCAAGACCCAGAGCATTGAGGACGACCCCATCTACCGCAAGATGCCCTTCCGTGCACCTCAGGCGCGGGTGGTGCAGAGGTGTGGGCGTGGATGCCAGGAAGGGCCTGGGTCCCAGACTAGTTGGTGCCTGTTGGTAGGAAACAGTGCTGCAGAGAAGCCCTCGGCCATTGCAGGCTGTAGCATCCAAACAACTTGCCTCCACATCTAGCCCTACAGCCTGCGCAGAGGAGGTGCCACATTTTAGCTGGGGTGGCAGATAAGACTGCCCCTAAACACAGGCTCGCTGGAGGGGCGGCTCGTCAAGGAGGGCTTGGTCCCTGTGTCCTCTGTCCTGTATCTGTCTTCCCTACTCTCCAGCCCAGCTACAACCTATCTGCAAAGCAGAGCTGACCAAGGGCCCATCTGCCTACAGTGGGGTCCAGATGCTCAGTTTCACATAGGACTAGGAGGGAAAATTCAGATCACCCTTAGAAAGGTCCCAGTAGTGCCTTACCCTCTGCCAGTATTTACCCTTTCTCTGGCCATGGCTGCTACTTGCTGCCTTGTTCCCCTTCTATAGGGCTCCCCCAAACATGCTCTCCCTACCTTAAGTCTTGAAAATCTGAAGACTATATGGAACGCCCTCTCCCTTCCAAAGCCATTCACCGTTCAGGATCCAGTGTCAGCCCTCCTCCTCCAGATGGCCCTCCCCGCCACAGGGGCCCAATCTGCTCCCATAAACTTCCTAAGGGAGCTACACTTTAAGGTGGCCAGACACTTGCAGTAGATAGAGATTTGGTTATGAGGCCCTCTTCCCAATTCCTCTGACCAGTTCAAACTCGGAAATGTCCTCTGACCATGGACAGCGTTCAGCTAGCTGTCATGTCTAGGACAGGAGGGAGGCAATGAGGAAATGGTTCTTGTGGGGATGACAGTTCTAGGCCAGCTGACCAAGCCACTCAGTCCCAGGTGCCCCTTATGGTACCCCCTAGATATATCCAGAACCCGCTGCTACTAGATGGGAAGAAGTTTGATGTGCGCTCCTACCTGCTCATCGCCTGTACCATGCCCTACATGGTCTTTTTTGGCCATGGTTATGCCCGCCTCACCCTCAGCCTGTATGACCCTCATTCCAGTGACCTCGGTGGTCACTTGACCAATCAGGTAAGAAACCCCTTATGGGTAAAAGCCCCTTTTCTATAGGCGTGGATGAGCTCAGAGAAACACTCTGATTGCTTGGGAGCACAGAGGAAGGGTCTGGTTATAGACTGCCTGCCCAGGGTTGGGAGTGACTTAGTAGCCTTTGTCTAGCTTTTACCCCAACAGAGACTCAGGTGTCCTACAGAAGGACCTTAGATCCAAAGGTAGAATGGGAGTCTCGAACAAGAGGTCCCTTGTTTAGGGTCTGTGGGGATTTTACGACTAGGAGGTGTGTGCGTGAGCATCTCAGAGGCAGTTGTCATGGGAGACAGGAATGGAGCTTCTGTGAAGGTCAGAAGGTTAGGATAAAGCATCCATAGAGTGGTCTCTTCGGAGAGTGACCTCTAGGCTCTGCTTTTGCTGTAGTTCATGCAGAAGAAGAGTCCACTGTACATGCTTCTGAAAGAAGGCACTGTGTGGAGCATGGAGCACCTCAACCGATACATCAACGACAAGTTTAGAAAGACCAAGGGCCTCCCCAGAGACTGGGTCTTCACCACCTTCACGGTCAGTCTGGCTTCGAGTGGGTTGGGCGAGGCTCGTGGCTTTTCATGAGTCATTGAAGCATATGTAGTTGTAGTAAAGTCATGTCTAATTGTTCTAGGTGTCATTTTCAATATCACGTTGAAGAGGCAAAAGTAGACGTCCTTGTATTTCTTTTGATTTAAGGGAAAGTCTCACAAATTCCCTTATATCCCTAGTGTACTAAGTATTTTTTAAGGGTAAGATGCTGAGTAATATAAAATGCTGTTCCTATACTGATTAAGATGATCATGTATTATTTTTCCAACATTCTATTTGTGTGTACTGCATCGATTAACTTTCACTGCTCTTACATATCCGGAATAAATTCCAGGTGGTAGTGGCATGTGATAATTCTAATATGCTTCTGAGTTTGATTTTATTGTATTTAAGTATTTTTGTGTCTGTGCTCATAAGTAATGCTTTTCTTTAGTATTTTATCTGATTTTGATAGGAAAATATATCATTTTCCTTTACTTGATGTCTTGATGTTTTATTCTGGCTCATAATTTTAGAAGTTTGAGGTCTATGATCAAATTGATGAAGAGGTGAGCAGGCTCTGACACATTCGCCCCTGTGATGGTCTGTCCTGCTCAAACCTGAGAAACTGTAGTTGGAAATCCATAAAACTATGAAGCAAAAAGTCCTTACTCTTTGAAAGTAATTCTCTCAGGTATTTGTTATAATGAGAAAAACAAAGACAAAAAATTGGCACACCCTGTGAAGTAGCCTGGACTTTTCATTGGAGGGAAGGTTTGTCATTAACACTGGTTTCCCATCACTTGGTTGATGTCGATTAAGATTTTCTATTCTTGTTTGTTTTTAAATTTTGATATTTATTAGTTTTTCTGGTGATTTTTTGCAGTTCTCCTTGCTTATATAATATATTTAGTGCACAGATATTTACAGTGTTTCCTTAAATTCATTTTACTATACTGGGCATGGTGGTGCACACCTTTCATCCCAATTAGGAAGCAGAGGCAAACATCTCTGTGAGTTCTAAGCCAGTCCGATCTATATGGCTTCAGGCCAATAAGGTCTACTAGGGGGCAAAGGAAGAGGAGAGGAGAGAGAAGGACAAGGAGGAAGAGAAAGAAAGGGAGAGCGAAAGGAAGGAAGGAAGAAAGAGAGAGAAAGAAAGAAGAAAGGAAGGAAGGAAGGAAGAAAAAAGAAAGAGAAAGAAAAGAAGAAAGAGAAAGGAAATCAAGAAGAAGGAAGGAAAAGAAAGAAAAGTTGAGAAAGAAAAATTCAGGAGCCAGGTGGGATAGCACAATGCCTGTAATCCTACAATTTGGGAGTCAGAAGCAGGAGTTTCAATAACTCAACATATATTTAGCTACACAGAGAATTCAAAGATAGCCTGGTTTATATGAGATCCTGACTCAAACAAAACGAAACACAGAGGGCTAGGATTATGCTCCGTGGTAGAGCATTTACTTAGCATGCACAAGAACTCTGGGCTCTAACCTACCACACAAAAAATGAATGAACACTTTTTATCCCGATATATGTTGTATCTTTAAAATGTTCTTTGGAGGCTAGGGAGCTTGATCTGTAGTCAAGAGCACTTTATCTACAAGCATGAGTTAGAATCTCCAATATCCATGTAAAAAGCCGTATGTGGCTGTCCACGCCTGTGACCCAGCACTGAAGAGTGGAGGCAGTTAGAAGCCGAGAGCTTGCTGGCTAGCCAGCCTAGCTGAAAAGGTAAGGTTCTAGTCCAGTGAGAAGCCCTGTCTCCAGGCAATAAGACATAGACTGATAAAGGAAGACACCCTAGGCTGCGCAGCCAAGGTCCAGAGAGCACACTCTGGAAGCATAGGCACAGGCATGCACTTTGGCACATTCACATGCACATGCCACACACATTGTAATTCACACACAGGCAGGCACACATGCACACGCACATTCCTGTGCGTTTGAAAAGATCATATAACCCACTGTTCATTAGAAGGTTCTGTAAAGGTCTGTGGAATCAAGTTTTTGGTTTTTTGTTTTGTTGTTGTTGTTTTGTTTTGTTTTGTTTTGAAAGTCTCAATATGTAGCCTTGACTAGCCTGGAACTTACTTTGTAGACCAGACTGGCTTCAAACCAGTAAGAGATAAGAGATTCGCCTACCTTTGCCTCCTGAGTGCTAGGATTAAAGGCATAGGCTACCACAGTCAATGTTAAATACATTTTTAACATCCTTTTTGGGGTGCGGAGGAAGGTCACCGCCAAAGGATGACTTTCAGGAACTCTTCCTCCACCATGTGGGTCCTGGAACAAAACTTGTGGTTAGGCTTGGCATCAAGCACCCTTACTAGAGAAGCCACCTTACCTGCCCTTGTTTTATACATTATTGTATGTGTGTGAGTGCAGGCAAACACGTGCCATGGTGAGAATGTTGAGGTCAGAGGGCAGCATCTTTCTTCCTCTGTGGGACCTGGGGACTGAGCTCATGTCCTAAGACTGGTGTGACAAGTGTCCTTACCCACTGAGCCATCTTGTTGTCCACTGTGTGTGTGTGTGTGGTGTGTGATGTTGTATGTGCTGAGGCCACAACAGGTTCTAGGAATCAAACTCAGGTCACCAGGCTTGCACAGCAAGCACCTTCATTGACTGAGCCATCTTACCAGTCCTGTGCAACCCATTTGTTCATAGTATTGGTCAAGTCTTCTGCTTTTTAACCAACTATGTATGTAGTCCTATCTATCTATCTATCTATCTATCTATCTATCTATCTATCTATCTAGAGATATCTAGATATCATCTATCTATCTACCTATTATTTATTTTGTCTTTTTGCGACAAGGTTTTTCTGGCTGTCCTGAAACTCACTCTGTAGACCAGGTTTGCTTCAAATTTACAGGAATCCACCTGCCTCTGCTTCCCAAGTGCTGGGATTGAAGGTGCTGGCCTTCACCGCCTGGCACTGCTATTTTCTTTCTTTTTAATATTTATTTATTATGCATACAATATTCTGTCTGTGTGTATGTCTGCAGGCCAGAAGAGGGCACCAGACCTCATTACAGGTGGCTGTGAGCCACCATGTGGTTGCTGGGAATTGAACTCAGGACCTTTGGAAGAGCAGGCAATGCTCTTAACCACTGAGCCATCTCTCCCGCCCCCAAGCACTGCTATTTTCTGTGTCTCATATGTCTTCTGTTTACTTCCTCAACTACTACCTCTTATTGGAGCAGATACATGTTTTCTAGTGTGTCTTTTAGTTGTAATCTTATTGTTTTCTTAGTGTTTGTATTTGAGATTACCATTAACATCTTAGTCATAATTATTCTGATTCACATAGTTAATTTCAATAACATAGAAAAACATTGTTCTTATTTTATAGCTCTATTCTCTATTGTGCTGACTTTAGAGCTGCTTTATTCAGTTGTCTTTTTAGGAAAATCAATTTCAGGTGAAAAAACCAGATATGCTGTCTTTTACTTAACATAGTCACCTTTACTAGGGTTCTTATTTTTATTTCTTGCCCCTTTCCTTTCTTTCTGGGGTTCTCAGTACCTATATCTGCTGGGTTGATTCCTCTCCCCAGGCTTCTAACTAAGGCAACTTGAAGTGCTATAATGTTCTTTGTTCTACCAGGGTTTTGTGTGGTCTAGCTGTCTCTCTACTGTGAGTTCTAATTTTCTTTACTTTTGTATCTCCTGGTACCTGCCTCACAGTATGGTTTTGCTGAATGTGTTTCTGTGAGCCTGTAACTCTGAGCATGTGAAAATGTGGGCAGTCAGAGCTACGCAGGCGAGCGGTGACTTCACCTGGGTCAACCCGCCACAGCCAGGATCTCTCCCTGCTTTGCCCACAGAAGCGGATGCAGCAGATCATGGCCCATTGCTTCCTGGCGGTCAAGTCCAAGCTGGAATGCAAGCTGGGTTACTTTGATCTCATTGGCTGTGATTTCCTGATTGATGAGAACTTCAAGGTGCTGTCTTGGGAAGATGAGGTCTGGTAGGCTGGCACAAGGAGGTAGGGCCCATCTGTACAATGACTGCGTAAGCAGGCCCAGTGGGTGGGCTCAGCCCTAAAGTTGGATGTGTCATAAAGCTCTCCTCCTACTGGAACTGAGCAGCCCTCAAGAGCAGTCTTAACTCCTTGAGCAAACATAGGGAAGAAAGCAGTGGAAAGATACAATCTGCCCAGAATCACATAGCTTGATAAAGACCAGAGAACAATCTTCTTACTGGCCAACTGGGCTGTGGGTGGATTAGGGATGCTGACCGCTGTCTGCCGCAGGTGTGGCTGCTGGAGATGAACTCCAATCCTGCCCTACATACCAACTGTGAAGTCCTGAAGGAGGTGATCCCTGGAGTGGTTATGGAGACTTTGGGTGAGCTCTGGGCAGCCCCTTGTCACAGCATTCCTGTCTGCTTCTTTGTCCAGTTCTGGGTAACCCATCCAGCTTGCCTCCAAGTTCAGACTCTACAAGTCTGGTTTCCCAACACCCCATAATCTGCAAGACCCCCCAAGCCCTCTTTCTGCTCCAACGTCTCTGTCACCTGACCCACCTACGTCTAACCCTTCACAGACACGCTGGAGAAGTTGCCCTGCTCCAAACTGCCCTCTCATCACTCACCTTGTCCTCCTCGCAGATCTAGCTCTTGAGACCTGCCAAAAGAGCTTGCATTGTCAGAAGATGCTGCCTCTGCTGTCACAGCGTCGCTTCGTGCTCCTTTACAACGGCGAGACTATGGACGTGTGGCCGCGCTTGGGGGGCTCGCGCCCCCTTGCCCGCCTGCCTCCGCCACCGCCGCCGCTGCCTCCCAGGCCCTCCAGTGAGGCAGCATCCTCTACACTGTCCTCAGCACGTGCCACAGCAGACCGACCTGGAGCACGCAAGCCGGTGCCTTCCAGGGCTGCTCCCATATGCGCCTTCCGCAAATCGCGGCTGCCTGACTCCAGCGGAGGGTCCGGAGCGGAGTCCGAGCCCTCTCTTTGTTCTGGGTCCCCAGAAAACAGCAGGGACGCGACTGGGGAGCCCTCCCTGGGGCCGTCCGAAGAAGAACGCGAGGAGGAACAGAGGAGCGCGAGCCACCGGGGCTCCTAGCCGCCACGAGCAACCAGCGACCCTGCTCGCGGCCGTGCCCTCTCCGGGACCTATAAAAGCTACTTTGTGACAAACGCGGCCTCCAGAAGCCGGTCCCACCTGGGCGCCCCAAGCCCTTCTGTCACCCTCCTCTCTTTGCTCCTCGGTTGTCCTTAGCGGAAGGAAAGGGAGCTGCATGCAGAATGGGAGTGGATCCTTCAGAAAGGGAAAAACTTCACTGACCTGTTTTTCCTTCTATGGGGCAGCCCACCAAATCCTGGGTTCCCACTTATTGCTCTTTCTCATCCTGTAAGATCCTCCTGAAACTCCATGGCCTTCATGACCTCTTCAGCCTGGCATTGGGACTCACCCTCTGTTCCCTGGAGTCCCCAGGAAAGGTCTCGGATGCCCATGGAACTCTGGAAGTCCTATCCTACCTCATTACTATTCTGGAGCAGTACCGGGATTCATTCTCATCCTGCCCACCATCTTTCTTCTGGCCTTTTAGACACTGTGGATCAGGGTCTACAGCCTTCTTCCCCACAAAGGCCTGGAGTTTGACAGGGATGGGGGAGGTACAGAGGAGTTGGCCAAGACAGAGCAGTTCCCAGGAGAAGGAAGACATTAAGCTGACATTCGTGATTGCTCTCCCTCCTCCCCTGCCACCCCCTGCAATAGTCATGTTCCTAGTTAGCATGGAGGTTTGAAAGGAGACCTCTGACCACCTCACATTTTACACCAAAGTGGCCAGAATCCTGCCTTTAAGTCCCTGCAGCCAACTCCTGTCCCCTCAAGTTACCCCACCTCTACAAAACTCCAAAGACAACCTCCTACCAACTTCCAAAAGGACCTGCTCAGCTTGAATACTCTCTTGCATATCCTCTTCCTTGTTCTCCCTTCTGACCTTTAATTGGTCCCAAACATCAGGCTTAGCTCCACCACATGTGGGAGAAATGCCAGACTGGTCCCTGTTCTTTATTGAAGCAAATTCCTCGGGAGGAAAGGGATCCTTCCTTGCACAACAGTCTAAACTGTGGCAGTTTCTAAGATGCAATGTCTGGTCACCAGTAGAGGGCTCTGTCAGCATACAGGGAAGTTCCCTTCCAGAAACTCCTCACAGTTGAACAACTGAGGCTCAGATCCCAAGGAAAGTATAGAGACCCTACTTTAGCTTGTGAGCATCCCACATCTTTACACACTCCCCACAAGACTGCCTGCTCCACCCCAGATGCTCCAGGTTCATTCTTCTTGCTGTGGCCTAGGGCATGAGGTACAAGGTGTAGTACAAGCACACTCTTGTCTGTAGGTGACCAAGCCCAGCATCTTCTCTAACAGTCCAGGAAAATCCTGCCCCTGGTCAGAGGGTCTCTGGTCTATTGGCTCTGAAGCCCACTGAAGCTAAGAAAATGGAAACCCAGCCTCCCCAGAGCTTAAGTGCCCTAGGTCTTGGTGAATCCACATCCACACCTGTTCCTGGGGTCAAGGTCACATTTTTGTTGGCAGCCATGGTGCTACCAGCCATGTCCTTTGGGGCCACCTGTCACTACATTCTCAACTTGTGCCTCCTCCAAGACTTAGGTTTCCCATAGCCTCTCCCCCTCCTCACAGTTCCCTGACTAAGTCAGAGCTGTATCCCCATCACTGGCATGACAAATATTTCTGCTCTCAGCACCACATGGAGCTGCAGCCCTGCCCCCGCCGGGGGGGGGTCATCTCGTGTCAGTACGGGTGACAAAGCTCTCAGGAGGAAGACGCTTCCTTTGCTGTTGTGGGGACATGGAACCTCTACTGAGACCATGATGTAACAAATAACTCGGCAGTAGCCTGTCCTGCTGTGCCAACCACAGGCTCCCCGAGGGCTTGGGCTGTCTGCTACCCTTCATTCCTCGCAGCTGCAGAGCATGTCAAAGAAGAAGGGTTTCAGGGACCTCTTGCTGCTCACTCATTCCACGGGAATGATAAGCAATGGCCCCATCAACCTCCTCCAGGTCCTCCTCAACTCTTCACAGCCCACATGCAAGTCCCCCAGAGCCCTGAGCTCAGGACCTCATCAGACTCTGGGGAGAGAGGGGCTGGGGGGCATCTGAGCACCTGGCCACCTGGCAGCTTCAAGGTATTCTCTGATAGTCAAACAATATGACGGGACTGGGGTTAAGGAGCTGAATGATGGCATCAACTCTGGGCTTGCCCTGCAGAGCAACCGATTGCCACTGGGGTTGGTCACCCAAGAACGGGGCTCCTGACAGCTGAATATATCCTCCCTTCTAATCACCCTTTCCTGTTCTCCTGAGAGAATTCTGAGACCCTCCTGCTGAAAGTGTCAAGAGTTTCCTTAAGAAGATGTGGGGAATTGAGCTACTCACAGCTCTGACCCAAGCACCCTGTGCCTTCTGTTGTCCCTGCAGTCAGACCTTTACCGCACACACGTGCACACGCACATGCACACATATGCACACGCACGCACGCATGCATAGGGTCTGGAGCTTTCTGCGTATTTTAGCTTAGGTCAGACAATAGTGGGACATCCTACATACCTTCCCACTCTAGTCCCCCCATCTAAAAAGGGGCCCGAACAGATAGCCTGGTCTTCAGAAAATCATCCTAATTCATGGAGCTTCTTGGGAAGATGGGGTAGGTAAGGGATGGATGTCTACCTTCTTTCTTCACTCAGCTGCTTCCCATAGGGACTAGTGGCTGTATAAGGGACAGTCCCTGAAATGTGAGCCCAGCCCAATAGAAGACCTAGACGTAGAGGTACTACCTGGTCATGCCTCAGTAGCTAGGAGCAGTCATTACCCACCTGCCCCCCAAGGTCTCTGGACAGCTGTCTGGAGCTGGGGGAGGGGTTGTCGAGTTGTAAAAAGGAAGCGACCTCTCACTTTCCATGATACAGGTCCTTCTCTCAAGCTGGGGCACGTCACACACTGAATAAAGTGTGGGCTCTCAGCAAGCGAGAGGGTGGAGGCTGGGCAGGAGTCACCAGCTGTGGCCGGAAGCATTTCTGGGAACTGGGCCTGTGCGCTAGCTCTTTATCTGAAAACAAACTTATGAAATCAAGGCCAAGGGGTGTGTGTGTGCTGTGGTTTTCCGGAAGAAATGGAGAGTGGCTACTGTGGGGTAGGGGTTTCTGGGAATTGCAGTGAAACCTCCCTCTTGCTAGTCTAGGCCTAGCAGAGACACACCTCAGCTGCTGTGGCTGCCAGACTGCAGGTGGGTAAGTGTCGTCCCTATTTCAGAAGGCAGGGTCTGGAATGGTCTCTGCTGGGGTGGCAGGAGGCCTCTGCAGCAGAATCTTTTCAGCCCATCCTCTTCCCCACGTTTCTAGTACTCCTGGATTTCACACACACCTGCTTGCAGTCATGGACTCTGTCCCTACTTGACTACAAACTCTCAGCCCTGGGGAACTGAACAGACCCTGCACAGCTCACGGTTCTCGTGGAAATCCCCACATCTAACAGGCTGGCACAGTTTATCTTATGTCCCTGAGGTGAACACGAGAGGAATTGGGGGCGTTGCTGACTGCAGGGCAAGGGTACATGGGAGACTACCGCATACCTCACCCCACCCTGCAGAATCTCCCGCCATCTCTATCACACCCATCAGTCACCCACGGAGGAGTTTCCAGAAGAGAGTAGTCTGCACACGTCATGCTATTTGGGGATGCCCCACCTGTGGCAGTTCCAGGGGAAGGCAGGACTGCCTATTGCTCAGAATCTAGGGGTGTGGTGTAATAGGCAAGCTGGGAGATGCCCCCAGCCTCCACCTCCCTTCCCAGGCTTACTCTAGACTTTGCAGATTGTGCCTGACTCCTAACCCACCCAAAAGGGGACAGAAGAGGCAGCTCCAGGCAATGAAGGTGGTGCTGGTACATCCCCAAGAGATTTCATGTGGCCCTGAGCGCTGTGTGTTCTGATCCCAATGTCCTCCACTTCCATGGCAATTTTTCCATCTCCTCCTCCAGTCTCTTCCAGGTGCCTGTGTGTTGATGGGGCTGTTAGCATCAGAAGTTGCAGATACATCCCCCCCCCCAATCCCTATTTACCTGCTGTGAGATAAAAGACAGGAGACATTAAGTGGAAGGAGGAACAAGTGAGTGCCCAGGTGTGCAGATGCCTTAAGGGTACTGCTACAATTCCTTCCCCCAGGCCTGCCACTCCCTGGATATCCATTCCAGGATGGCCTTATTGAGTGTAGCTCTGGCTGTCCTGGTCACTTTGTAGACCAGGCTGGCCTCGGACTCCCAGGATCTGCCTGCCTCTGCCTCCCGAGTGCTGGGATTAAAGACATGTGTCACTACACCTTGCTCTTACTGGATCTTTCTATGAGCAGCCCCTACAACTGCCAAGAGGCAGGAGAGATGTTTTGCTCGGAGGGCCTCAGAGTCAAAACTATGCACTGTGCACTCCAGAGAATTTGCCTCATGCCAGGAAATGCTGATATGGAAACTGGCTAAAGCCTGATTTTTAAAGTCCTAAAGTGCCATCAAACCAGGCATCCCCAAGGGCAGTATCCCAAAGACTACAGGCTCAGTACATGGTTGCCTAATATGGACCAGACAGAGGTGAGGGGAAGTGGTTTGGACAAGAAGCCAAGAGGAGGACTGGAGAGCTGGCTCAGCACTTGCCGCTCTCTCACGCCTGCCTTCAGTTCCCAGCACCTCCGCGGTAGCTCACAACCATCAACTCCTGCTCCAGAGAGTTATACACTATGCAAAGAAACTTACGGAGGAATTAATACACACATAAATAAAAAACAGAAGATGAAGCAAAGAAGGCAGGTATTCAGTATAGATTACCTCCTAGTCTGATGGTCCCTCCTGAGGATTTGTGGCCAAGATTAACCTTGCCTTGTGCCCCCACCGCTACCACCCCAGAGAGAGCCCTGAGGGCAGGCCTCGGATGACCCTCCCTTGAAAGATTATTCTAAAAGTCTTTATTACATTTTTGTACGTGCTTGTGTGGACACTCACAAGCATGTGGCATAGCGTACATTTGGAAGTCAGAGGACAACTTGTCAGGGTTGGCAGATTCTATCTTGTGGGGTCAAACTCATCAGGCTTAGAGGGAGGAGCCTTTGCCAAGATATTTCACTAGACCATCCTTTCCATTCTACGCCCTGGAAGTGACCGTGGGCATAGGATGACAAGGGGTGGCCTCAAATGCAGCCCTGGGAACCTTCCTTTCCTCTGTCCCTAGAACACAGTCACTCAGGTTACTAGAAAAATATTTATTGAAATCCATTTGTACAAGGTCTTGTCCTGAACACTCAGTGCTCTCTCTTGGAGAGCCTAAAGACCCCACTCCAACAGAGCTGACAAAAGAGGAAGGCAGCCACAGGACCCAAGTGGAGTCACTACTCTCTTCACCCCCATTATCTGACACCCACTTCCACCATCGAGGGGAGCAGGGCCAGGCCCAGGGAAGGATGCACAGCAGAGCCCTTGCTCTCACCAAGGGTAGGTCTGGGCAAGTTTTAGAGGGTCTGGCTTGGAGTACAGAGGAAGAAGAGCCCTCATGGCCACCGGTCTCCCAGACGATTCTTTTCCTCCGTTTGCTCCCCACGCTCCTCCTCGGGGAACTGAAAGCTGCAAGCATCCTCAGCTGGTGGAAACTGCACCTCCAAGAGTGGCTGCGTCTCTGCAGTAAAAACATGGTCAGCAAATAGCCTGAGATGCATGTCCCCCTTCCCAGGGACACAACTGACCTCGGGGATACATGTGCTGCCTCCTCAGCTGCCATATGTGCAGGCAGAGCTGGACTATGATTAAGAAGAGAATGCAAACAGTCGTGGCCAGAAGGATGACAGCCAGATGACCATGTCGTTCAGTGGGCAGCGGTTCCGGGATGCACACAGCATTGTGAGTCTTGTTCCCAGGGAATATGGTGAGAAATCCAAACTGGGTACAGCTGGACACAGACACAGACACTGTCAGGCTTGGCTACCCAAGCAGTCACACTAGGACCGTGGGCCTCTGAGACATTTGGGAGATGAATTTGAGGGTTTACAAGGGAGGGGTGGGAGAGGCTTCCTCAAGAGTGGGCCTAGGCTACTCATCCAGGACTTACTCGGCCCAAGGTCTGCAGCGGCCCTCACGGCCTGCGGAGAAGGTGCCCATGGCACAGTCAACACACTTGAAGCCAAACTTAATATTCCCTGTGAATAGACAGACAGACAGACTATAGGGACTACTGAGGTTAAAGAAGAAGGAGTTAGCACTCGGGAGGCAGAGGCAGGCAGATCTCTGTGAGTTTGAGGCCAGCCTGGTCTACAAGAGCTAGTTCCAGGACAGAGAAACCCTGTCTTGAAAAACAAAACAAACAAGCAAAAAAAGTCAAACTAGGGTCTATCAATCCACCGGATCTAATGTCTGCAGGACTAGAGGCTGGACAGGTAGTACTATGTACACCTATTCCAGAACTAGAATGATACATTGGTCCCTATGAAGATAGATAGGATTGGTGGAAAGACCTGGACATAGTCATAGTCTGAGAGCAGACCAGCACCTGGGCAGTCCTCACAGCCTCTCACAGCCAGCCCTGAGAAGATAGCAACACCCTCATTATGATGGAGAATCCCAGGCTAATAGGAAGAATGGCTCAGGTACTCTGAGACCACTTGGCCCACCTATCCCTTCTAGAATCTAGAATGCAGATCCCTGTCTACCCAGAGTATATGCCCATGAGCCCTGTATGTGCAAGCATTCTTACATGCCTACACATGCTCACTGGGTATCTCTACCAGCTTGGCTCTAGATTAAACTTGTGGTTAGCTTGGGGATAGCTGTGGCCTTTAGCAGTCTCCCAGGGACGTACCATGAGGCTGCACCTTCTGGCCTGGTTGGCAGGGGTAGTGCTTGCAGGTCTTGCACTGAGGGTCTTCACAGTGGTACTCCGGCATGACACATATACAATCTCCTTCAGGACAGGTCTCCTTGTCTTGGCAAGAATAAGAGTCTCAGGAACTAGGCAGAGTTTCCCTCTTCAGAGCTCCTACTGGTCCTTCAAATTCTTAGGGTGCTAGGCCTCCATCCTCAGTCAACCCCAGTGCAAGATCCTAGGCGTTGTCCAGCTCAGTGTTCCATCTCAGATGGCTGACCGCTAATATACATACCGCCCACTGTTCTGAAGTTATGGCTTCATAAGTCCCATTACATATGGGAGTCACCTGGGACTTTCTATGGTCCCCAGACCCATGCTGCCTCAGGGTACTAGGAACATCTCAGCAGCTACAGTCACTGCTGTCCACATTTCTTTCACAGACACGTGGGTCCTCAGAACTGCCTCTTTCTATATCAGAGGGATGGGGGTGAAGATATTTTTCTTTGAGGGGTCTTCAGACTGCTCTACACGTCCTAGGTAACATAAACACTGGATAGGGCAGAGGATAATGTTGGGGCACCAACCCAGACAGAGCTAAGGTTTGACCCACCCAGCAGACCCTGAGATGGTCCTCTTTCACCCTGGACCCCAGATCCCTCTTGAAGGAGAGGTTTCCAGCCCCTGCTCCCACACTTCTGGTCTTGAGCAAATGACTCATATGGACCCTCCACCTCCTTCTCAGTTCTAGACTCATGGTTCCAGACTCAGAAAGTCTTCCTACCCACCCTCCCTGTGTGAGAGCTGGGCAGGGCACTGGTGCACATCCTGGCTCCTGCTCCCCTCCTTGCCTTACCTGGAGCACACCGATTGCAACACCGTGTGTTGTTGCCAGTCCCACGCTGGAAGCTGCCAGGGCCACAGCTAGGCTCCTCAACCAGGCTCTGATGACCTAGGTCCAGCACCCAAATCAGTGAGACTCCACACACCATAGCCCATGCTCCCATAGTGTTTCTCCTGGGTCTTCTTCCTGTGGGTTGATTTTTAGTAGTCCCCAACCTGCTCCAGCATGCTTTGTCCCGCCCCTGCCTCAAGTCCCCACCCCTCAGATTGGCTCCAGACCAGCTCCACCTCCATCTTCCGGCAGGCATGTGGTGTTTGTAAAAGCCTCTGTAAAGTGTGCAACAAAGTCATATCATCTTCCTTGACACCTCCTGAACCCCAGCAAGCCTCTTCCAACTCCAGCAGACACACCCAGGACAGGCTGCAGAGGAAAAGGATCCCCATTCACACAGGCTGCTTGTGGGTACCCTTTTTGTGTAAAATTCCTCCTTTCCACCCCAGAGAGCCACTGAGGGGAGCCCAGAGCTTATATGCCTTTCAGAGAAAGTCGCCATAAGCTGGGCATTCCTAGAAGGCGCCTGAAGCCAAGAACACTATATCCTGCCCAGATCCAGCCTGGAAGTTCCAGCTTGGATCTCTTGGCTATCTCTGGAGCCACTTTTGTTCACCTCCTCACACAATTCTAGATAACAAGGACTCCCTGATGGAGCCTTCTGGGCCTCTTCCTCATGGGGAGACTGTATTGTCTTTCTGAGCCTCATTTCTAGCAGGTTCTGGAACCCTGCCTCTACAGGGAAGCCTTTCTGGATTGTTCAGCCCCACTTCCCACATCTTCCAGCTGAAACTAAGTACAGGGAAACATGATGAGGACTTTGGGGAGTGTTGGAGGTGAATATGGGCATCTCTGAATTTGTGGGTACCCACAAATGGAAGGTGTGGAGACCTCTGTGATTGTTGACACCCTTTTAAGATGCTGTTGGAGGAGGCTGAGGAAGTAGGAAATGTTAAAAGTTAACAGCTGTGCAACTCGTACTGTTCTCCGGCCCCAGGTGTGTAAGCCTCCTGAGAGGCAGCCCTGGTCACTGCAGGGGTGTGGGGAGGGGACTCTGGGTAGTCCACTCTGGGCCAGCCTTAGCAGAACCTCTCCTTCGAGAAACAGCTCCAGGCCAAGGAAGTGGGTCTGAGTACAAGGGCAGAAGGGAAACCGCGTGCCTTGGCTCCACATAAAGATACTGAGGGCAATATTGCCTATGCTCCTAACCATTTAAAAAAAATTATGGGAGCGCTCACTTTGGAAGCACATACACAGAAACTGGAACAATACAAAAATTAACATAGCCCCTGTGTAAGGATGACAGAAAAATCTGTGAATCATTCCATATTTGGGGCTGGACATAGTGGGACACACCTTTATTACGGCACTCAGGAGGCAGAGGCAGGTGGATATCTAAGTTTGAGGTCAGCCTAGACTATATAGTGAACAGGACAGCCAGAGTTACGGAGAGAGACCCTATCTCAAACAAACAAAAATCTAGAAGGTCAGCCTGGACCACGCCTTCATAGTATTACCCCAAGCCTGGTGAGTTCACGGTATACACAAGGAATCCCCTGCCAGCCATGATATTCTCACACTGGGGATCCCTGTTCTCTAGGCACTGGCCTCTTCCACGGGGGAGAGATAACAAAGCACTCACCTCCAAAACACTGCCATGCATTGTACCTTGAAGGTGTCCCTTGGGAATTTTTGCCTTGGTGTTGTATCCGAGCTCAGCCATGGGCAAGGTCTGCTTGACAGAGACTTGCAAGGCTACAAGCTGCTAATGAGCTTCATAGAGGTTCTTTCCAGGAGACAACCACACACAGATCGCAAAGATAAAAAGACACAGGTCATATACCTAGGGAGATGTTTTTACGCAGAGGACATCAGTAAATGTCAGCACCTATGTCAGACTTCCTGTCCTACCTACTTCTAGGTACCCACTGCAAGGAACTGCCAAGAGCGAGCAGCTTCCGTAACCAGACAGTGGGCAGAGGTGATTTTTATCTGCTCGCTGCTATCTCCTTTATTTTATGTGCAGCTCCTTGTGTTTGTATGTCCATGTGGTTTGCTTCACAGGACTCGGTGAGGATGTTCCAGGCGGCAGAGGGTCCTGGCAGTTTGACCCTGTGGGGAACTCCCAGACTGAGATGGGGAGAGCAGCAGAGGTAGTTGGGGAGTTTTTGAGATGAGGGGGGATAGAGAATATACTTTGGGACAGCATCAGAATAAAGAGAAAATAAACCCAGTATCTGTGCAGGTGGGGTCATGGGTATGTAACCCAGGAAGGGACCCAAGGAGCCCCAAAATGAGCAGGAGACCGCATGAAAACTGGAGACCTGTGTCCAGTAAGGAGGGGGCATAGATATGGCCTGCCTAGACTGAGAATAAAACCTCTTTCCTATCAGCTCTAACCTCCCAAGCCCCATAGCATTCTTCCTCTCCCCTTCCTCTCTAGGATGGACTTTCTCTATGGGGTGGGAGCTGCCAATTGGCCTATGGCTCCATCCCCCGGCTTCAGGTGTGGTTGGTTGTACTAGCACCTAGTGAAGGGCATTTAGTAGTTCAGTGGGTGTTTCCTTTGGCTGCGGGCAGCTGGATGTTGTCAGAGAATGGAGAGAGATGGGAAGGGAACCAGGATCAGAGATAGTTTTATCCAGCCAACCCATGGGGGTCTCAGTGACTTGGGCTATAAGTAATAGGGCGCCCCACCATGCAGATGAAGATCATCATATCTGGTCTGGAGGTGGTGGCGCACGCCTTTTATCCCAGGACTTGGGAGGAAGAGGCAGGCAGATCTCCGAGTTCAAGGCCAGCCTGATCTACAGAGTGAGTTCCAGAATAACCGGGGCTACACAGAGAAACCCTATCTCAAAACACAAAGAAACAAAAATACTATATCTGACCACAGGCAGATCAAGTAAAAGATGGGAGGGGTAGCAAGGTGTTACTTAATGCCAGGCCGGTGGCCTCATGGTGGCAAGGGGCAGGAAACAAGGAAACAGTTATCTTTATAGCTCCTTATGGTTCCTATGCTTCCTCAAAGTGCAGCTGACACAGCCTGGCACCACCCCCTGCACCGGGATGTCTGGTGACTCCTTTCTTGTTTGGGGTTTTTTCTTTTCTTTTTTCTTTTTCTTCCTTTTTTTTTTTTTTTAACTTTTATTTGAGACAGGGTCTCACTATGTAGCTCTGGTCAGCCTGGAACTTGCTATGTGGATTAGGCTGGCCTCGAACTCACAGAGATCCTCCTGCTTCTGCCTTCTCAATGTTGGGATTAAAGGCATACACCACCAAGCTTGGCCATCTAGTGACTTTTAACATCTATCACATGACACCAGTTTGGGCTCTCTGGTTTTACTTGCATGATCAGGCATGACCGCTTGACTGTCTCCAAGAGCAGTTTGGCACCTTCTGCCTGGAGTTCATTGGGCTTTTGGGTACCTGTGCTCTTTGAGCAACACAGCCATTGCCGCTCCCAGAACCCCTTGTAGTAGAGCGCAGCATAAGACCCTGGGTCTTCAAAGTGTCCATATTCTTGTCAGAGAACATTTGTTTCTCAGGACAGACGAGGTCTGGCTCAAGAAGCAGACCAGTTTTCCAAAACAGCTGGATGATTGGCTGCTACATGGAGCCATAGCCACCCACGTCCAGAGATTCTAAGGTAGGACCTAGGTAGTGCGCAAGGACCACCAAACACTTCTCATGTGGCTGGAGAGAAAGGATAACTCTGAGTTATCTGCCTGAGTCACAGAGGTCAAAAGGGGCACAGTGGTTCATGAGCCCCTCTGGTGATCAGGATACTCAAGCTGTTTGCCAGGGCACTTTCCTTTTGGCTAAGACTCTTAGGTCCCCTTAGAGCAGTGGTTCTCAACCTGTGAGCTGTGACCCCTTTGGTGAAACTCTGTCTCCAAAAACATTTACATTACAATTCATAGCAGTAACAAAATTACAGTTATGAAGTAGCAACAAAAATAATTTTATGGGGGGGGTCACTACAACACGAGGGTTGAAGCGTTAGGAAGGTTAAAAGCCGCTGCCTTGAAGACTCTGGACTGCTCACCAAGCCGCCAGTTGGCTCCCCTAGTATCATCCCCTTGGCACTTCAGACCTCCCGTCTCCATACCCCTGTTCACACTGGAGAACACATGACTAAGTGTGAGTCTCTGAGCAGACCTTCACCTTGGCCTAAGACTCTTCCCCACCAGAAGAGGATGCAACCTCAGCCCCCTAGTGCCAGTCACAGACTCACAGTTGCTAGCACGTTTATTGGTGGTACCACCAGGCAGGCAGTATGCATAGCATACATAGGAGAGCCCAGAGCCAGCCCGGCACCTAGAACGGTGTGGAGGGTACTGGCAGGCACCAGGATATAGGCTGTCCATGCTCCATCAAACCCATTCCTGAGGTGCTGTTCAGATCTTGGCCAAAGTAAAGTGTGTGTCAGCTTGTTCCTCCTGGATGGGGATCCTGAAGCTGTTTCCCCCTAGGAGAAGCAAAGAAGGAAGAAGCAGTGAGGAGATATATCTCATCCCTCTAGGAAGCAAGCTTTATTAAGTCCACAGCAGGTACTCACAGTAGGGTTTGGGAGCATCAGGCAACCTCCAAGCCCTTCGGAAAAGGTACAAGGCCAGCAGAACAGTCAAGGGAGCCAGCAGGCCCAGGCCTAGGCCTAGGAAACCAGTGAATACTGGGCCTATGAGGAGAGTCTAACTGAGTGAACTCACTCTCCCTCACCTCCTCTCCCCTCCCTTCCGCTGGGCCAGTGTCCCTTACCCCTAGGAGCCACCTGGGTGGATGTAGAGAACAACTGAGAAGTCCTGGGCCAGACTGTGGTGGACTGGACAGTGGTTGGCGTGACTGTAGAGCCCTGGGTCTCCCAGAGCACTGTGGCTGGGAGGCTTCTGTCCTCACAGACTGCGTCCAAGCTGGGACTGGCCGGGTGCCGGGTCTGCTTCCCAGATAGGGTGCAGCTGTGGGGTGAGGGTGTCCATTAGCTAGAGACAACGGTGGAAGTTGCACTGGGTCATCCTCAACTCTGCCAAGTCTTCCACCCCAAGCCATACATCTATGTCTGTTTCTGTCCATCCCTGTCCTGCTTCTACATGAGGTTCTGCGCTCTCAAAACGCGCCCGGTACTTCTCCAGCCCTCTGAAGAACCACAACTTGAGAGCAAACATGTTTCTACAGCCTGGACTAGAATCTCACATGTCCCCACTCCACTTGCAGGGCTCCCCACAGGGGCTGTGTTGAAGGGAAGATGTCAGAAGGTCCCCTGGTCCGTGGATTTCTGTTCTTTGAACTGGTCCGTCACATAGTCATCTAGGCACCAGCTCTTAAATGCCCAAACCTTTCTGGTTCCGTCCCTTCCACACCCCCAGTCCTCAGTGTTCCAGCCAGCCACAATACTCACTTAGTCCAGGGCTTGCAGGCCTGGTTGTTGCCTGGAGAAAAGTGGCCAGGAGGACAGGGGACACAGTCTGCAGCAAAGACATAAGTCAACTCTCTGATGCTACTAGGTGGGCCTATATGTTGAGGCTGCTGGAGGTGGGGCCTGAAGTGGGGGACAGTGTTAAGGCTCACTCTCCAGTGCCAGTGCATGGGAATCTTGGTCTCTGCAAGCTCCTTCCTTCCCATGTGCCTCCCACTGGCACTGACCCAAGTCTTGACATGACCCAATGGGAGAGGGGCTTTTGGCCAAGACTAGATAGATGCTGGGGGAAGTAACAATGTACCCAGTGGGAACACGGCTTTTTATACCATTATCATGAAGGGTGTCAACACACATGGATCCTGACCACCTCGCACACACCGGCCATGGACAGACATGAACCTGCCTGGTGTAGGGGGCCACCCTGAGGCTCACCAACTCCAAGTTTGTGGCTGCTGTCTTGCCGGGGCTGGGTGCCTGGCTTGCACTGGCAGACAGTATCCTGAGTCGGTGTGCAATTCTGCTTGAGTTCACTCCCACTTCCTAGGGAAGATGAAATAGAGACTGTGAATGCGGCTTAACTAGCCCTGACCAACACACAAGGCAGGGTAAAATGGACTTGCCATCCCCAGTGGCACAGGAACAAAGTTGAAGCTGAGGGAACTCTGCAGCCTGACTTCAGGCTTCTTCTCTCCTAAGACCCTCTCTCTGGCTACTCTGTTCTTCCTGGTCATAAAGCCCTGTAGAAAGCTACTGAGCTAGCACAGGGCAGCTGTGGCCTCCCCCTTCTACCCTTCCCCAACCTGTCTCCAGCCTAGAGCATCTGAATCGGAAAGGTACTCTCAACATCGACTTCGGGCCTTACCCACTAGGACAGCTTGGGCAAGGCCCAGTTCCAGGAGGCCCTGGCTGAGCCTTCACCGCAGAGGACAGAAGTGTCCCCTGAGAAATTCCCTGGCTACTAAGGAACCCTTAGTGAACAGGATTCATCATGGCTTGGAGTTAGTTCTGAAATCATATGGGAAATATGGGCACCCATTGGTGCAGCTGCTTCCTTGCTGGGTTGGACAGTGAGTCAGGGTAGGAGGAGCTCACGTTGGTTGCACTGTGTACACTGCTTGCAGCTTTCATAATTGACTGCCTCATTGTAGAAGCCAGGTTCACACGGGTGGCATACAGTGTCCCTGTTGGCATCACAGCGGCTCACCATACCATTGCCTGGAGTGGAGCCCAGAAAGTTAAACACGTCAGCTAAGGCCCAGGACGGTGGAGACACAGCACCCTGACTCCTACAGAACCAGCCTTTTGGTTGGCTGTCTCAGACCTGGGAGCATCATCTGATATCACCTGAATTCACTTACCCGTCCCGCCCCCTAGAATATCTCTACCTGTGTCTCCATCATTGTCCCCCAACAATCATCCCTCCCCGACTCCGCCACTCCATCCCAAAGCAGGGCCGCTCACCTGGCTGGCACTCATGGCAGCACCTGTGACCACTGGGGTACGTATCTTCAACACAGTTGAGCCTGAATGAAACCCCAAGTGTGAGTCCCAGGAGCAGAAGTGCTGTGGGCTGCTGGACCCACACATACATCCTTGTCTGGGCTCTGCCTTCACAGGAGTCTGGGGTTTTTCCTTGCAGGATGTGGCTATAAGGGCTATGGGGGAGGGGCGAGAGGAGTAGGCGGGAGAGGCGGGAAGATAAGTGAGCATGTGTTTCAGTGTGTATGGCACAGGTGTAGAGTCCCGTAACGAGCTAGTGTTTGGGGCCACTGGGGTGAAGGGAGGTGCAGATACCCAACATACTCATATGGAGGCACACAGAGAAACACATGCACACAGGCATTTTAAAAAAGGATTTTATTTTTAATTATGTTTTTTTCTTTTTTTGGGGGGTGGCGTATGTATATGGTAAGTATAAAACCCAAGGAAGTCAGAAGAGCTAGAGTATAGGAAGTTGTGAGCCACCAGCGTGAAAACTAGGAACCGAACTTGGGTCCTCTGCAGGAACACTTGCTTTTACCTCTGCGCATGGTACTTCACTCCTTTAATCCCAGCTCTGCCTCGTTTACACAGTAAATAAATTTCCAGGACAGACAGGACTACATAAGAGAGACCTTGTCTCAAAAACAAAAACAACCAAAAAGAGCAGTACAAGCTTAACTATTAAGTCATCTCTCCAGTGTGAACAGACTTTATTTCTTTTCTTTCTCCCCTTTCCCCCTTTTTTGTAGCACTGGGAACCTAAATTCTCTTACTTGCTAGGCAAGTGTTCTACTTCTATATCCATAGCCTTTTTCATGTTTTATTTTGAACAGTTTTACTAGGTTGTCCAGGCTGACATTTGAATTTATTCTGTAGCCCATGTTTCAATCTTTTCTTTCCTTCTTTCCTGCCCTCTCTTTCTTAATTTCAAGATTCGTGTCAGGCAGTGGTGACGCACTTCTTTAATCCCAGCACTCAGGAGGCAGAAGCAGGTGGATCTTTGTGAGTTCAAGGCCAGCCTGGTCTACAGAACAAGTTCCAAGACAACCAGTGCTATAGAGAAACCCTGTCTTGAAAAAACCAAAACAAAACAAAAAAAGGAAAAGATTTAGTTCGAGACAGGGCTTCTCTGTAGCTTTGGTGCTCTTGTAGACCAGGCTGGCCTCAAACTCACAGAGATCCGCCTGCCTCTGCCTCCCGAGTGCTGGGATTAAAGGCGTGAGCCACCACCGCCCTGCCAAAAAGATTGTTTATTTTTAATTGTGTATAAGTGTGTGTGTAGGAAATGTATGCACGTGGTACTGGCACCCAAAGAGGTCAGGTGTCTGATCCTCTGGAGCTGGAGTTATAGGCAGTTGTGAGCTTCCTGATGTGGGTATCAGGAACCAAATTTGGGTTCTGGCCTTGAACTTCTCATCCTCCCCATCTCCCAAATGCTGGGATTACAGGTGTGTCACAGGCTCAGCGGGCT